AGGGTGCTAAAATAGGGGAAGACATTTTTAATGTAACTATTTAGATGATATTGAAATTGTGACCTTCCACAGTCCACACTCAAATGGATAAAAAAATTTACTTTGAATAAAAAACTAAAGCCAGGTTTAATTATTCTAAACATCAGCCTTAGCATCAGCACCTGCTTTTAAATATAATTTTTTTATTCTTTTCTTAAGTTCTTTGAAGTCTGCTTTTAATTTGTTTTAAAAGTTAAAATTTTTTACACGTTTTATACTGACTGGATGGAGCTTTGGCCTTTGACCTCCGACTCAGTAGGAACAAAAAGCTAAGAGTACGTTTAGTAACTTATTAAAAAGAATATTGTCATCAATTCAAATGCCTTTACAGATTTTAGTTATAAGTCTTGTTCACCATGTGGCAGAGCGGGTAGAATGCTAGACACTAAGGCGTACTCCTTGGGTTTGAATAATCGAGATCATCCTGCGTTCTCTCGTTTAACATGTGGTCCATTGCATAAGCTCCACATTGAGTAAACGAAGATAACTCATATTTACCTTCGCTTTCTCTATCCTTGGAACGTGGGCAATAGCACTGGAATGGTTTTGCTTTTGCGCTAATAATCAGTTCGATTTTTACCTAGATATAAAACATGAATACTCGTGAAAAAGTTTGACTCAAAGAATATATATTTTAATAAAATAAAAAACTAATGTAAATTCCAAATAAAGTTGAAAAACAATTATTTAATTTAGGCCTATTTAAAGTTTCTATAAATGTCGTAATCTACTACCTGTTCTTGTTTTATTTTAGTTTGTGCCCTTTGGCTTTAGTAGGCAGTGTCACAGAGGCACTTACCACCTTTGGGCAGTGTCTACTAGGCACTTACCACCAATTGGTCTGCTATCTCATTTGTGCTTATCATATTTTAGACTTCAGAAGATAACTAATAGCTAATTAGCCATATATGCATCTCACGATAATCTTTAATCGGCCCTTTTAAAAAGTAGTTTATAATTCAACTCAGGTTTCAAGCTTGGTTTTTTTAGGTCAAAGTGTAAAGTTTATTTTTCTAACAAGACCTAATATTATAAAGTTACTTAGAAGTGTATTTTCGATATTTTCATTTTTTTTAAAACAGATTACATACTTCAAGAATTGCATGAAAAGAACCAAGCTAGTAGAAATGTGTTTTTAATGTTTGTTTTTCAGTATTCATTAATTCTGAATTATGAACACGTTCATAATTCAGAATTTGCAAGCATTTGATTTAAACGGGCTTCACAAGTGACATACTCTTCGTGGTGACAACAAGATGTCGTAATCACTCGTGATGACATCATTCAAAGTACTAAGAATAACTTATAAAGTTGGGAACACCTTGAATAAGCCTTGACACAATAGTAGTCATTAACTTTTGACAACATCGGTTTTGAATGATTGTAAGTAGTGTGAGTTTCTTTGAATTAAAATTAAACTTGTGCACTTATTTCTGATCCATTTACTACAAGCACAAACCGAATATATTTCATATTATAATATATCATTGGGTATGTTTTGTATTGGTTTTAGCCACTACGCGCATGCGCACGACGACAAGTGAGTCATCGTACTGGAGCTGGAGCCCGAGCTGCAGTTGATTTTCCAACGTTTGCATCGACGCGTTGTTTTATATCTTGTTGTTTGTGTGGATAAAATAATTCGTAAGTCAATAAAAAAAAATGTTTATATTCTTATTATTAATAAAAATTCTTCCTGAATATTATAATCAAATATTAATAATTCACTAGAAAAGACATCGGCTCCAGAGTTTGGTTTTGTTCTACACATTTATGGTTGTACAATGTTTAAAGTTTTTATATAAATTGATAAGACAAGGCAGTTGCAACAACACAGGAGTAAGCCAAATAGAATACAATACAATATATATATATATATATATATATATATATATATATATATATATATATATATATATATATATATAAGATATAGAACTTCATAAATAAATTAACAGTAATAAGTGTAATAATCTTAACGTAAAAGCTACGTGATAAGCAGTAAATATCTGTAAAATATTAACAAAACTTACGAAGTTTTTATTATTTAATTTTAAGGATATGTTTATTAAAGTGAGACTAAGTGATGGATAAGTGTATAGTTGTTTGTGTAACTGTCTAGACGAGGGAGAAAATTGATTCAGCCAAATTACATGTCTGCTGCATTCACCAATGTTTCTTACAATTTAATTGCTGTTGCCTTGAATTATAAATAAATACATATTATGTAAAAAGACATTTTCAGATAGCAAATATTCGCGTAGTTAAGAGATTTAAGTGATATCCTATTTTATGTAATACTAGCTGTTCTCCGCGACTTCGCCGGGTGTAATTTAGGGTTTTAATTTTTTTGTGCGGAACCCTAATTCTTTTTTTAAATATAAGTAACCCAAGTTACTCCCTATAAAATCAGCTATCTGCCAGAGAAAGTCCTGTCAAAATCGGTCCAGCCATTTCAGAGATTAGGCGGAACAAACAGACTGACGGACATACAGACAGACAAACATTTGAAAAAATTGTGTTTTCGTTATGAGTTCCTTATAAACTTTCATATGCATTTAGTAAAAAGTTGTTATTTTGACTTTACAAACAGACACTTCAATTTTATTTATTTATATAGATTAGATAAATTATAATATATAGAATATGCTCGTCTGTTAGTCAGAAATTCTATTTTATGTAGTTAAATAAAATTTCTTGCTCTACATTGGTAATTTTGTTACAATTTTGGAGAAAAAAATAGCATTTAGTTTCCAGCGCAGAAAATCTTGTGTGAGATTATTTTGTTTATGATTTGTGATTTAATTTTGAACGTTTTGTATACTGCATGCATACCTGTAATCCAAGGTCTATTGGTGTGTTGGTGCGGTGTGTAAGCAGGCGTTTATTTATTCGCAATCGGCCTCGGCGGTATAGCGAGGCCTGGCGTCACACTTCTCCAACACGTTGACCTACGACTCCGTTTTTGGATAGGGCGGAATAACGATTGCTCCATAAGGCTTACGTATCTTTAATTTTTATATGTATAGTTTTTAAATATTTTCCTAATAAAAAGCTCTTACGTTAGTTTTTATTGAAGCTTATTTAAAGGCTAATAGCCTAGTATACAGAGCATGCAATGTCGCAGTATATTTTTCTGCCGACTTCCTAAAAGGAGACAGTACTCAATTCACTTGTATGTTTTTTTGTGTGTTACCTCATAATTTTTTACTGGGTTAACCGATTTCGATGATTCTTTTTTTTATTTGAAAGCTGGTACTTCTCGTGTGGTCCCATATGAATTTGATCAAGGTCAGACTAATAGTTCTTGAGTTATTCTTAATAACTTATATTGAAGTCGGCTGTACAAAATTTTAAATTTTAAATTATCAATATAGCAATATTGCGGTATCGGAACTTATAATATCGCAAAGTTTGCGATATTGCGAAATTTAAAAATCCTTTAATGGCGGTTTAACTAAAACAATAACATGAGTGAAAAAATCTTTCTTCTAACTACAATTAATCACACATACAGCCCAAATCTTAATTTTTACCTTGGAAATGTTTATGTAAAAAGCAAAGCATATCTTCTCATTATTTAAAGAACTTCTAATTTTATTACATATGTATTCAGCGGCCGAAAATGCTCTCAGCTTCTACGCTCGTTGGTGGAATGCTTAGCAGATAGTTATATACAGTCTCCAGATATTTACCTATTGTTCCTCCGGTTTTATACCGGGTTCGTTATCAATACCGCGAAATTCACATCTGTAATCTCGTTTTTAGCGGTACTGAAATACAGCGCGAAATTCGCGAAATTGCGGTAACGATATAACGGTATTGCATGCTCTACTAGTATAATAATTTTATAATTATTAAACTATACAATAGGGTAAGTTACAAATGGTTCTGCCAGATTTAAAATGGATCATTGGTTACAAATCAACTATTAACATTTCTGACATTTGTTTTAGAGCATAGAATTATTGAGTAAGGAAGGAGTATATCAAACTGAGTTTCAATCGAAATTGCGGTACAAAATCAATTATTATACAAAAATTGTACGTGGTAGAGCTGCGCTCTGCATCTATATTATGACGATTAGATTTATTTATTAGGATTAGGGGAAGGCACATACTCTCACAGAATACCAGCGTAAAATAGAAGCTTAATGTTGCTGTGTTTCGTATGGCGAGTTCAGAGTACCAGAGGCCATTTTCAGTGGACACGAGGCATTCCATGCTAGTCCATAGGGATCAGCATTTTGATTCTTAATTGAGGATAAAATATGTAGATGTCTACCGGCCGCAGCATCTATACTTACCTTCAGGTGGACTGAGTGCTCGCTTGTCATCTTTTTTCAATAAAAAAAACAAACAAACGCGGTGTGTTAAAATACTTTTTTTGACATACACATACATGCACGCACGGACACAAGTGTAAGCGGAGTGATATTTACCTAAAAATAGGGAAATTATGACGTTTCCTTTCATCTCATCATAGGTATGAAACTATTAATTGCTATTGGTACGTTAACAGGCGGCTGAGTAAGCTCTAATAGCTTACTCAGCCGCAATTGCCTTACTATGGTTGAGGATTCTTGGTTTGTGTGCGTTGCGTTATAATTCCATGTATATGAACATATGAACGTAACCCGCCTGTATAATATTCGCCGTGCATTTATTTTTCCTGTTAAAGGATAGACATAATTAATATAAAATACAAAACATACGTAATATGTATACTTTTGTTTTAAATCGGCTTGCAGTGCACTTGGTTTTAGAAAAGCTAATTTTACTTATTATCCTTTAATATTTTCCACCATTTCGTGGTTTTAAGTTGAACTCTATTAAACTGTATTGGTTATTTTTTATCATTTGTATTATCATTTTATAAGCAGACCATAACTAGGTATAATAAGCATTATGCAGTGTAGTGCATATGAAATGTTTTTCCTTTCATTCCAGAAGTGAGCCAAAATGTCACACACTGTGACCATTATGAGGACAACAACAACATCATCTAGCAACGTCATGTTCGTCAACAGTGGCTACCTTGGAACACTACCAGGATTGCTCAAGCTTGCCCAATTGGTATGACTATTTTTTGAAGTAATTTGAACGTTAATAGTATTTGTTTGTTCTTTTACCTCCATTCTATAACAGCCTATCTAAAGACCACAGCTGAACATAGACCTCCCATGCGGGAGCAGCTATTTTAATATTTTGTAACGTAACATTAGCATACGCATATAAAAACATAATTTGTCAAAGTATAATCTTAAAGAAGTTAAATCGAAGTCTCCTTTTTTAAAGTCGACTTGAAAGATAAGTAAAATGTATTAAAATTAGACTTGCAACGAACGTTTGGCTATTGGTTATGGTTAGTATTCGGCCATTCGGCTACTTAAATCCCAAAGAGATTTAAATATATTTAATCTTATTCGGTCGAATACCGAATGTCTAGGTACTATTCGGCCGCATACTGAATAGTAATATATTTTTCTTGTAATTACTAAAGTTGTCATTGGTACATACTAATCAACTTCCGTATTATAAAAAAAAAACTATCAATGTCTATGCATTTGAATTATCGTAATTAAAATTTAGAAGTGAAAGATTATGGTGCAAAAATACTATTTTTTTCTGTACTATTGTTTCAGGCAGGCGGTTAGGTACTCCTTTTCTTGTAGATAATCCCAGCTTCAGATAAAAGGCGCTCTAAATAAACACCACTTCCGTCAGCTAATATTCCGCTATTTGGCCACGAAGCCCACGCAATAATCGGTATTCGGCGTGTAGACGAATATACTATTATTTGCAAGTCTAATTATAATATTATAGCATAGTCTATTTTATTTTTTTAGACGTTACTCAAGCATAATCAGAGAAAATAACGAAAATAGGTTTAAGGATTTTTGAGCAACAAATGGTTATGTTATGGACCAAGTGATTAATCAGAAATATGAATAACAAGTCCAATCGAGCTGTGTGATTAATACTGCTTCAAACTCCATTATTTATCACATTGTCTGGTAATCACCAACAGTTACGTAGCAATATTCATAATGATTGAATATTCATAATGATTGTTACGTAACTGTTGGGCAATTTGATATAACCTAACCTTTTTTTTCGTGAGGAAATCCTCATGGATACCTTTAGCTGCGGGGCAACCGGAAGGTTATGTCAGATTCCTACCGGCTAAAACCGCACGGTGGTTTCCATCAGCGTGTACGAGGGGTCCCGGGATCTCCGTTCGGAAAGCAGACCCCCTCCCCCTCTCTCGCTTTGCTTTATTGGAAGCACGTTCCGGGGGCAATACTTACTGCTCTCAGCACCCTCGCAGTGCTATCACGATGTCTCGGGACCACTTTCGACCCATTGTCCTCCTCGGGTGTTACGTTACTAGTTATTTGAGGCCTCCGCTCCAAACGCTTGCAACCCCAGAGGCCCCGTTTAGGTCGTAGGGGAACACCATCTTCAAGGTGAGGGCTGTGACGAACGCCTTGAAGGCGTCGTCTCCGAGTGAGATCTGTCCTCCTTCGATTCCGATCAGCAGCCTCCTTCTGGATTATTACGGACTCACAGAAGGTGTCTATGGACCTCCACGCCGAATCCCCGCTTAGCATCGCCGATACGACTGCTGGCAGGGAGAGGTCCCGGCCGACCCAGCTCGCCAGGATCGTCCGCTCCCGTTCCCACGCTGGATATACCGCTAGCGTATGACACGTGGAGTCCTGGTCCTGTCCACCGCAGTGGAAGCAGTTCGCCGTCGCTTCGCGTCCGATCTTACACAGATAATCACCGAAGCACCCGTGCCCACTAATTATCTGTATAAGTCTGTAGGTGAGTCTTCCTACTCGTCGCTGCATCCAGGCTTCGAAGACCGGCAGGATGGCGCCAATAGTGCGTTTGCGGGCATAACGCTCCTCGTTAAGTCGAATGCGCCATATCGCCAAAGCGTTCTGTCGCCCCTGCCATTTTATAGACTTGAACGCCCCGTCTGGCTCACTGCCATGTCTCAGACGGAGGATGCGGCTTCGGTTGTACACCCTCGAATACATATCCGCCAGTATATCTAGGAGGGAAAGCGAGTCAGGATTGTCGCCGTCTCAAAGGATATCGCCGCCTCCAAGGATGCGGTATCCTTGCACGATCCGTATGGTCATTGTAGTGGACTGTATGAAAAAGGGGCAATTACTAGGGACGTTATTATAGAAAAGGTAGGCGTAAAAATAGGCGGCAATTGATAATAAATATACTACAGGGAATATTTTCTTTGGGAGTCTTGAGTCTTCTTTCTGGATTGTTTTCTTTGCCGCTTTCGAATCGAATTCGTCGTTGCGGCCGGATGCCCTTTGTTTTATTCCTGCGGCGGGGGTTCCGTCTTCGGTGTGTTCCCACGTGGTGTTGCTGTGCGCTCATTGGCTGCAGGCATCACGTGATGTCCGGGCGGTGTGCGGGGTGTGCGGGGCGTAACGAGGTATGAGGAGGCGACGGTGCGGTGGCTCCCTTCGCTATCCGTAACAGTCATCCTTCGCTGGACACTGTGGATTTTAGATCTACAACGTTGGATGGATAGCCTTTTCGCCCACATAGGTGTCCCGTATAAGGCAGCGGACCGTACGACCCCCGCATAGAGGCGGCGTATTTCCTCCCTCGGTCCCCCTAGATTAGGCAGCAGTCTGTGCATAGCACCCGCCACCCTCTCAATCCGGGGGACAAGGTGCTCAAAGTGCTTTTCGAAGCCCCAGCGACTATCCAGGTGGGGCTCCAGGTACTTCATGTACCGCCCCACTCTGACTATAGACCCACCCACGTAGACGCACGAGTCGGGTGGTTCCCTGCTCCAAGGTAGTTTGTGAAACCATAAGGCGTCTTATGAGGCGCTATTTCTAGACCCAACTCGTGGATTTTGGTGACGAAGACTTCCGTCCCAAGTTCAGCGAGCTCCTTGGTCTCCTCGAAGGTGACCCCGCCGGCGACCACCAGTGTGTCGTCGGCATAGCACACGATATTTATGCCAGCACAAAGGTCGATACGCAGAACCGCATCTTACGCGAGGTTCCACAGTAGCGGACTCAGCACTGAACCCTGCGGAACACCACGTTTGATCTCCCTCCGGATCTTCCTACCGTCTTGCCCTATGTACAGAATGTCCCTGTCACGCAAGGAGTCCCCGATTATGCCTTGCAGGTAGGCACGCGCCTGGTGGTGTGCTAATGCCCTCCTTATTGTATCCCTAGGTAGAGAGTTAAAGGCGTTGACGATATCAAGGCTTATCACCAACGCTACACCACCCTCGGATAATGCTTGTTCCAACAGGGAGCGGACGCGCATAATAGCACCTACAATAGAACGCTCGCGTCGGAATCCAAATTGGCTATCAGCCAAATCGGGATCGATGCAAGACAGATGTCTGTCGAGCCGAGTGGCAACTGTCCTTTCGAACAATTTGCCAATCTCGTCCAACAGGCATATGGGATGATAGGCAGAGGGAGAATCGGCGGCCCTGCCTTCCTTCTATAAGACGACCAACCTTGCTTTTTGTTTTAAAATAGGCTGTTATGAATGAATGAATAATGAACACTGATGATGTATGTGCACGTGGAATATTAAGTACGTTCATACGTTCGCCTCGGGAGCACGACGCGATCTCTGACTCAGTATTTATTTTGACTAAGCGATAATAAATTTATTTATAGTGTGTAACTAGTACTCGTAGTTGACAGAAATAAATGCATATATTTTTACGTACATATCGTTTAATGATATCTTATATTTACGCTTATATTTAAATGAAACTATATTTTACGGATTTTTTCGCGTTTAATTTAACTTTTTACTTTTTACTTTTTACTTACTATGACATCGGGACGTTAAACACCTCAGTACCTCCCGTGACCACGGGTGCTGAAAAGCACCCGTGGTCAGGAAGTAAAAAGTTAAATTAAACGCGAAAAAATCCGTAAAATATAGTTTCATTTAATTATTATTCGTTGTTACTAACCGATTTAGAAAAAATATTTTCCTGGAAGTACCTATCCTTAGGTGAGTTCACTCATTAAACGTTAGTACGTTTGATACGACATAATTTTATCACAGCTTATAAAACAATTAATGTTCTAATGGTGTTTGTCTGTTGTTTAGTTAGTTTAGCAGACTTAATCCAATTTCATTATGATTTTATTAGGCACACATTTAAGTACATCTAGCCTATAAATATTAGATTAATAAATTTTTAAAAGTTAAACTAGGACCTAACTAGGTTAATGAAATAAAAAATTAATTAATTTTTTTTTTATAGGATAGGGGGACAAACGAGCACACAGTCCACCTGATGGTAAGTGGTTGCTGTGGCCCATAGACATCTACATTTATCCTCGTTTGCGAATTAAAATGCAGATGTGTTGTCACCAGTGAGGACTAAGATGGAATGCCTTTTTTAGAGTAAAAAGGGTCTCCGGTTCTCTACACTCACCATACGAAACACAGTAGCAGTAGCGTGGTCCTTCCCCGTTCGAACCGACCCATTCGTGCTACAACTATACTACTAATATAGCTGCAGCATGGCTCTACCACCTATACAATTTTTGTTACCAACCTTTTTCCATTGCTCAAACGTGTAATTTTCCAATTGAGTTTTTTTTTATGAAACTGAAGTGACAAACGAAATTATAACTTGCCTGATGGTAAGTGGCTGCTTTAGTCCATAAACACATGCAGCCAACTTCATACAATGAAGGCTATGCCTTGTCACCTCAGAGGATTAAAGTGGAATGCCTCACAGCATGTAATTACACTGGCGAACCAGGAACACAGCAGTGCAAGCAAAAAAGTGTTTGTGTTCCCGCGGTAAGATTTAACGCCAAAAATTATAATAACTTTTTTAACGCTCGCTTGCGGCTTTTGGGATTTAAAAATAAGTTAATTTAATGTAATTAAACCCGACAAAATCTGTAAAATTAATTTTCAATGCGAAGTTTTTTTTACGTAAATATATTAAATCACTATCACCCCATTTCGTCCCGTGGGTGTCGTAAGAGGGGATTAAGGGAAACGCCTGCCAGATAAATGTTTTAGTTTCCGACATATGGTAGCATAGATAATACACTATATACCAGGATGGTAGTATGAAGAACTGTATCGTACACTTCAGGCGTAAAATGACAAGAGCAGACAGGCTGTTGGTGATGATAACCTCACAGAATAAGACATCTAAATCCCTCATCGAATCATATGATATGGTTTTCATTTGATTGTAAAAGATGTATGACTCTATAGTAATATGCGAAACTTAGAAAACAATAATGTTATATTATACATAAAAGTATGAATAGACTTAATGTTTTACTATCTAAAAAAAGGATAATGATTAAAAAAGATAATAATATTTGTTACATTATTTCTATTTCAGTTGTTGGGAGCGGCTTGCGTTGGTGTGGTTGGGTACTACTTGGAGCCAGGTTTCTATCGTTACAATGGTCAAAAGCCTGAACTCTTTTATTTCTTGGTGTCGGTAGCCTGTCTCGTCGGCACCTTCTGTCTACTCACCTCGTGCCTTGTGTCACTAACCACTGCCACCATGATATCAAAGACTGTTTACGTAAGTATGACATTATTCGAGTAACATTTATTTTTGATTTCATTTATTTATTCCGTATGATTTACACTTGCAATTACTTAGTCTAAAGATATTATAATAGAGTGAGGGTGCTTTTCCACCAGAGGTGTGCTATGCAGCTATGCGGCGAGGATGTGAAAGCTAAGCTATGAAACTATGTGATCGTTTCCACTGATGCTAAGCCTTCCCGATTTCTGGCCTTCGGGGGTAGTGTTTCACCGATACAGGGTTGCGCCAAAGAAGAACGTTCCGTAAATAGTGTTATGTCTATAATTTATATATATTTTTAGGTTAACGTATATATTGGCTATAGGCCAATGTTCTTAATTTTTAAGTCCATGATGCCTGAAATAAAGTTATTGTATTGTATTATATTATATGCTATGTAGCTTTGCGAGGAAGATGTGCAGCTCGAGCTATGGGATGTCTCGACAGTAGGGAAGGCACGGAGAGCTCTGCTTTGCATATAGCTACACCGCTCGTGACCATCCATAGCAGCCATACAGAGCACCATCCATATAAAAACATAGCTTATTTGAACTTGTTTCCATCAATGCTAAGCTATATGGACCAATGAATATGATTGGAAGATATCAAGGTAGCATAGCACATCTGTAGTGGAAAAGCACACTGAGGTGGGTTGAAATATGCACAATATCGTTCGATGCCGTGCTAAATTATTTACAAATTATTATGATGGATACAAAGTGTTTATGCAGAAAATTGGTCCTATGAGGTTAGTATTGATTTAAGAAAACGTCAGAGAACTCTTGCCGTTTCAGATATGACGGATTTTGGAGATTATTTTTTTTTATATTATATATGACATGGGCATGCGGCTCACCCACAAACTAATAAGAAGTAGGCTCACCTGATGGTAAGTGACTACCGCCGCCCATTAATAACCCCAACACCAGGGGAAATGCAGATGGGTTGCCGGCCTTTGTAATTATCGCAAATGTAAGTAAAAAGTATTCTTATACTGCGACGTGTCTATTATTATAATAATAACCATTCCATCTGGTCCATATCTTTGTCATCATACAATTAATATTGACTTGGTTATAACAGTGTTGCTTAGAAACTTATTTTTCTTCTTCACCAGCTCGAAAAAGTTCACTTTTGGACCTGGGCCTCTCTGAGCCGACACCTTCATGCTGCATCCATAATACAGCAGCAGTATGGCTCTACACGTATTTTTTTAACATAAATTACTAGCATCATTACCGAGTATGCAATTTTTGCTTCAGCTGTGAATTATATTGTCTAGTCTTAACATTGATTGCGTAGGTAATGTAATAATTGAGATTTTTTCAATATTCCAGGAGGTGATCTATCACGGTGTGGCCTTTATTTTGTACTTAGCGGCGGGTCTCACACTAATTATTGAGGTTAATCATCAAAAAAGTAGTTACCGTAAAGATTATGATCCCTATTTGGCTGCTGCGGTAAGTCAGGTTTTGGATTTCAAATTATGTATTAGGAATTTCGTTTGATTTCTCTTTTAGTTCTATATTTATTTATATTTATATATATATAATTCTTTTCTTCGTGTGTTTCTCACTGAACTCCTCCTAAACGGCTAGACGACCTGATGTGAGAGTAATCGAAGGTTTAAGAACTTGATTTGTCATTGTCTTTGAATTAGAACTAAGTTTTGCAACAGCCTTACGATGTGCTGCAAAGGATGAGGATGATGGATTAAAGCAGTGTAGGTAACAAACAAACTTACAGTTCTAGGGAAGGCGAATTAGGTCTCAAAAAAGCTCAGCGAGCTTAAAAGAGCGGGACAGTATTTCATGCTGGTACACCGCTTGTAACTTTACAAGAAGCAAGTTAGGTTTGCTCACTTAATAATGAATGCTGATTCTTCTAACTGTGAAGAGTGTAGATCTATTGATAGCATTCATTCATTAGGTTTAAAAGAGAAAGATAATTATTGATGTAAAGTTTCAATATAAATATGTACGATTTAGGAGTCTGTTTAATAATAATGTTCTACAGACCGAATTTCGGTCACGGGAACTAGCCATCGGCGCAGGACAGGATTATAGTGCCCAAGTGTATGCGCACACACAGGTGCACTCTCTTTTCCCTCGCTCTTATAGTCCAATGGAACGGTAAACCGACACGACCGGAGAGAGATCAGGCGCTGGGCCAACGGCTTTATGTGCTTTTCGAGGCACGGGGGTGAGACACCGCCAGCTTCCTGACACCGGGCAGCTACTGAGAGTTTCTTGATAGAAATGCTCAATAATTGATTTTTTGTCCCGATCCGGGATTCGAACCTGGAACCTCATGATCAGCAGTCGCACTACTATAACCACTAGACCAACGAGACAGTCTATTCAACTGTGTTAGCAGAACCACTGTCCAATGCTGTAAAATGTTTGGTTTATAGGGTTATGAAACACCGATAATTCTAGTTCTTCTCAATAAGGTTTTTTTTTTCAACTGTGTCTCGTTAAGATTAGGGTATGATGGGATTTTTTAATGTTTTATTATACAAAAAAATACATCGGTTGTTTCTTATACTACTTTCGCCAAACTGCAGGGCAGTTTGTTGGCGAATACATCACACACTTACATTATATGTACCTACTTTAATTAATATCTTAATCTCCGTGACAAATTCGTTCGGGATAAAAGCCCCTAAATAAATAAAGAGAAAAAAAAGGTTCAAGTTCGACCTGACAACGGAATACTGTTCTCGTCTCTGGGCCGGGACACTAGTAGAGCGGCTCGAATCGTCGACGACCGAGGTCTTTCTGAGTGGCTTGACTTACTGGCTAAGAGATGCTACATCAATTTGTCCTTTATCGCATTTATCATGGCGAGTGCTCAGAGGAATTGTTCGGATTAATTCCTTCCGCTAAATTGCACCATCGCACGTCGTGACAAAACTCGCCAAATACCATTTATACTATCTGGATAAGTGACGTTCAACCACTGTGCAGTTTAACAAAGGTTTTCTTCCTCTCACAATGGTGATGGTAATGGAAGCGTATACCTATATGATAAATTTATAAATTGTGTACTATTTCTTTTTACAGGTGATGGGCCTCGTGATGGCGGGACTGTACCTACTAAGTACCTTCCTTGCAAATCGTACCTACCGCGGTATTTAACTTCAACTGGCATAGATTTTATGATATTAGATACACTGAGCTTCCAGCCTATAATACCTCTTGAGGTATTTGGCTATACGACATTATATTAATTGTTAATGCAGCAGTTCAGAAAGCTTAGCTAATGTGCACTCGCTCGTGTCTAGTCGGTGAGGATGTATGTTATGTATTGTAAAATTAGCTATACGAGTCTAAGTATATTTTTAAGCACAAATCGAAAAAATATGATTTTAGTAAAACATTTAATGTAACTTAATTTTAGCTTTAATACTATTTAACTATTTATTACAATCACAGTACTGGATGATTCCTGATGGATCAGGGTAATTTTTTTTAAGAAACCATGTCATCAATTTTAATCCGTTCATAATTCATCAACACTCTAAAAACGCTCTAACACTCGAAGGTGTTGAGGTTCGGTGATAAGGTGGCACCACATCAAAGGAGTATGATAGAGTTGGCCAACTTGGACGAATCGGCACTCTACATCCACCGTTTTCCATCCATTTTTTTAATTTTACAACTACAAGAGCTTATCTTCTATCTTATATCACTTACTCGATTAGTCTGTACCCGGTATCAGGTTCGGGGAACGTTTGGAGTTAGACGGTTAGACGATCGTGTAGAGTTTTTAAATAACAATTTCAAAAGAATTAGTTTTTGAGGAGAGAAACGCATAATATACTCGTATAAATGTACTAAAACGCAGTACAGTACAGTAAAGAAAAAAATCTTTAAGGATAATTATTCGTCACGTTAACGGCTGTAACCATTTCATTTATTGGTTAAGAATTGAAAGTTACTTTATAATAGACAGAAATAATTTTTTGAGTTATACCATATTTATATTTAATGACAACATCACTTCAAATCAACAGTCTTTGTACCAATTCCACTGCTGAACATAGGCCTACATCTCGTTTACGCCAGACGTAAAATATCCAGACCGGCATCTGGTAGCAGCGTCAAGATGCGACTGGCAAAGCGATCGTCAATCGCCTGCCAATCGTGAGGATTAAACTTCTACGGGAAAAAGTATATTAGTGTGAAAAAGAACTAATATAGAACGTAGCTCTGGTTTGGCGTACTACCTGAAGCAGTATGTGGCTTTACTTAGAAAGTCCTATGTCCACAGCTGGCTGTAGACATAGGACTTTCTAACATACGCCACAACAACACTGTACTTTGCTTCATATGTACGAGTACATACTATTTATAAATGTCTATTGCTAAGCCATTCTTTTATTACTTTGTTTTGAAACTATACTAAGTAGGTATATTATGTTAAAAATTGTAGTAAGCATTGTCAATTCTTATAAGATTTGCATTTGCTTGTAATAATTATGCCAGGATTATTTAAAGTGCATTCTTTAAATAGAATCTACCTAAATTTAAGAATATTATGTATGATATTGCATAGAATGTGGAAAATTCCGGGATAATATTAAGGATTTTGATACATTAATGCATTTAATTTTCTATAAACATGCAAAGTTCCGAATTGCCAATATATAGATACCTATATTTATATGATATTTTCCTGATATTAATATAAAACTAACATATAAAAATGTTATTACCAGAATGTATTTGTAAGTCCATTTTAACAAGAAAGAATTACGATAAGGATTGAAGTAAACAAAATATTTATTGTAAAATGAACGTTTAGTACTTGTATGTTTTTGATGTATTTTTTTTACAATTAAATTCGTAATTTTATATTTATAAAGAGTTTTATTTGTATATTATCTCATATAACTAGCTTTTATCTGCGGCTTCGCTCGAATTTAATTTAGGAACATCATTAAATGCTGCTACGTGCCTTTAGCAAAATTCGATCACTTTTAGAATCATCTCAGTGTCTGTGTCTCTCAATGTTCGTCAAAGATTTGTTTTGAATTCTAAAAGACTATTAGACGTAGATGATTGCTATTTAGCAAAAATTTATTAGACTAAGTACAAGAATATATATATATATATATATATATATATATATAGAAACATTTACTATTTTTATATCATCGGGCGTGTCTTCCAAACAATTTGCCTTTCTTATGGATACATCATCCATAAGAAAGGCAAATTGTTTTGGAATCTAATTTTATTATTATGTGGGGTAATTATATAGTTTTCTCATCTGGTTGGGCTGTATAAATATATAATTACAATATAATGATAAACTTACATAAATATCAATAAAATAAAATAAATGCATAAAAATTACATAAATATATAAAAACCCAAACAGATGGAAGCCCTCGGAAGGGGAGACCAAACGGCTGAGGGTTAGGGGGAAAGGGAAAGAAACCGACGGACGATGCGGGCGGTATCGAGGAGCAGCACCTTCTGCATTTGAGCTTGGAGCGGTCCGTTACGGAGTCCCAGTCGCCTCAGATGACCCGAGAGGCTGACTGGGATTAACCCGTTCGCAGAAACAACCACAGGAATAATTTCGGCCGGCAGACCACCCCACATGTCGGTCACCTCGTGAGTCAGGGCCAGATATTTTGTCAGCTTATTTGTTTCGGCTTTCACGAGGTTCTTGTCATAAGGAATGATAATGTCGACCAAAAATATCCTTGACTGTGCCCGGTCCATCAGCACAATATCAGGCTTATTCGCAAGAATATTCCTGTCTGTGATGATGGCCCGGTACCAGCAGAGCTTGGCGCGGTCATTTTCGAGCACGGCTTCCGGCAAGTAATTATAATATGGCAGTTCCGATCCACGAGACCGTATTTCAGAGCGAGCTCCTGGTGTAGAATCCTGGCTACTAGGTTGTGTCTGTGCAAATACTCAGAGTTAGAAAGCGCCGAACAACCGGAGATGACATGCCTAAGTGTCTCACCGGGATGGCGACAAGCTCGACAGATGTCGACGGCGCCATCCTTTAGGATGTATTTCCGATAATTGTTGGTCTTAATAACCTGATCTTGTATTGCACAGACAAAACCCTCGATTTCCCCAAAGAGGTCATCGAAACGTAGCCAGTGGAGGGAGGCGACTGTGTCTATGAAAGGCTCATGTAGAGCCTTGTAGATCCACCCGTGGAGCTCCTTCTCCTTCCATACGGTCTCCCGGTCGAAAATGCTCTGTACTGCCGGGTCTTGCCATTGCTCGTTGGCTAAGGATAGAGGGGTAAGTCCTTTATCACAAGAAATAACGTCAACGTTTAACGAAAGAAAGTAATTACGGAGGCTGCACACTTCGCGATTATGCATGGTAAGCGCGCTTAAAAAGCCGCGTCCACCATGCTTCCGCGGCAAGTACAGCCTCATTACTGACGACCTCGGATGATGCATCCTGTGGGACGTCATAATAGTGCGGACTTTTCTATCCAGAGCGTTCAGTTCGGTCTGAGTCCCCCTGAGTATGCCAAATGTATACATGAGAACAGGCATGATCCAACCGTTATATGCATGTGTCTTATTAACGCCCGACAAAAAACTGTTAAGCACTTTTGTCAAGCGTGGATAAAACACATCGCAAACTGACTTTTTCATGTCCGCCTCATCGATACCTATGTTCTGTGACATACCCAGGTATCGTTATGTTTCAGCCTCGGATAGGGTATTTATGTTGATGGGCATAGATAAGTCTATGCCCTCAGAGTTAGCATCCCTACCCCTTTCGACATGGGGGACCGCACACTTATCCGTCCCCAGCCCCAATCTAATAGAATTGCTAAAATCACCAGTGATGTTTAGCAATTCCATAAGATGAGAGCGACTGGAGGCGAATAACTTGAGATCATCCATATAGAAAAGGTGGGTCACTTTTGTACCTCCTCTCCGAAGCTGAAATCTCCCCCCCCCTCCCCGGAGTCCTCCAGTAAGGTACTAAGAGGATTCAAAGAGAGGCAGAACCAGATTGGACTCAAACAATCGCCCTGGAAGATACCCCTTCTTATCCTTATGTGGTTCTCCGCAGCCATCATCCGCTCGCCTAGATGACAAAGGATCGTACTCCACTGCCCCATACACTGTCAACCTTGTATAGCTCGAGGACCCTCTTAAGCCATGTATGAGGCACCGAGTCGAATGCCTTTTTGTAGTCTATCCAGGCGGCGGAGAGGTTTCGACGGTTGCGTTTAACCACCTTGCCAATGACCGCGTCAATGAGAAGTGGTTTCGTGGTTTCACGACCACCGCCCCGACATCCATTTTGAGCGCGCGACGTCACCTGATTTTAGTTCAGGTGACGTGTGATTCTCGCGCTCAAAATGGATGTTAGTGTCTTGTATATGGTAGGTAGACACGTTATGGGGCGGTATTTGCTCGGGTCTGTGGAATTCCGGTCTTTAGGAACCAAATGAGTGATGCCAGTAGTGAAGAGGCTCGGGAGCGACTTTTGGTCGAGAGCCTCTTGAAACTGTCGGGCGAGTACAGCGTGACACACCACGAACCCCTTCAGCCAGTAGTGATGCAGTCCGTCGAGTCCCGGACTTTTCCAGTTCGGGGCCCTACGGACCGCCTCAGCTACATCATCCGGTGTTATGATGACGGGGTCCATGGGCGTAACATTCATACACCGACTCACCAGAACTTCCGTCCAAGGGCCCTCGCTGTGGTTTACGGGCTCTGACCACAGGCTGCGCCAGAATGCAATAGTGTCGGCCTGATTCGGTGCTGGGCCCGTTCCACGTACCATTGGCCGCTCCAATGATTCATAGAGCCTCTTCTGATCACTCTGGAAGAGACGATTTTGCTTGAAGCGTGTCGACCTCTCGGTATATCGCCGAATCCGCTTCCCCCAAGCAGCGATTCTCTGCTTCAGGTCGTCTATGCCCTCCGTCAATTTTTGCGTTATATCCGGCTGGAACAAGCTGATATTTGTCCCAGGAAACGCCATCCTGACGGTGCGCACAATTCTCGGCCTTTCATTGCCCGACCTGAAGCTTATCAGTCTGCCGATGAGGGCCCTTGGCTTTGCGATGTGGTCCTCAATCCTTCTTCTTCAGGCTGGGATAGCGCTACCTTGCCTAGTAGCGCGTCCAGCCG